AGACATCACCCTCGAAGAATGGTAAATCCCCATTCTTAATTGTGGGCTGTGTGTAGAGACTTCCTTCCAAAAGAAGATAGTATTGAAAGGTGGGGAGGAGGGGACGCCTGGGTGGCTCAGTTAGTTAAGCGGCTGCCTTGGGCTCAGGTCAGACTCCCTGTAGTCACGTGATTGTGATCCAGCTCCGCTTGGGGGCATGGGGCTCCCTGCTCAGCGGGGAATCTGCTTCTCCCTCTCCCTTTGCCGCCAGCCACCCCCACCCCGCCCCCATGCTCTCTCTCATTGGCTCACTCTCTCAAATAAATAAACAAAATCTTTAAAAGAAAAAAAAAAAGGTTGGGAGGAAGAGTAACCTTACAGTGGAGAATCTGACAAGCGCTACCAAGGTCAACATCAACAGTGATGAGTCATGTTGATGGTACATAGCCTTGATATGATGTGATGATAATGGTACTTCACCTCCCCCAAACCCATAACCCCAATCTAATTATAAAAAAGAGATACCAGACAAATTCCAATAGAGAGCATCCTGCAAAATATTTGCTCAATACTCCTCAAAATTGTCAAGGTCATCAAAAACAAGGAAAGTCTGAAAAACTGCCAGAGTCAAAAGGAGTCCAAGGAGACATGACAGCTAAATATATGGTGATATCCTGGATGGAATCCTGGAGCAGCCAGAGGACGGAGGTAAAACCTGAGGAAATCTGAATAAAGTATGGACTTTAGTTAACCATAAGGTATCAATATTGATTTACTAATTTTAACAAATATGCCATACGAGTGTAAGATGTTCAAAGTAAGAGAAACTGGATGTGAGGTACATGGAAACCCTTTACTATCTTCTCACTTCTTCCATAAATCTAAAACTTCTTAGAAAGAATGCATATTTTAAAAAAAAAATCTAATTTGGAGTGCCTGGCTGGCTCAGATAGGAGAGCATGTGACACTTGATCTCAGGGTTGTGAGTTCAAGCCCCATGTTGGGTGTAGAGATCACTAAATAAATAAACTTGAAAAGAAAACAACAAATTACTTAAGTCAATTAAATCACTCCTTTTGGTATGGATCTTCATTCAGTTGACAATTGCTGCTAATAGTTAACTGATTTTTGGTTTGTTGTTTTTTTTTTAATAGTTTATTTATTTGAGAGAGAGAGAGAGACAGATAGTATGAGAGCAGGGAGGAGAGGGAGAAGCAGGCTCTCTGCTAGGCAGGGAGCCCAACACAGGACTCGATCCCAGGACCCCAGGATCATGACTTGAGCTGAAGGCAGAAGCTTAACCAACTGAGCCACCCAGGCGCCCCTATTTAACCTGTACTGAGCATCTTCTAGGTATAGGCATTGTGCTGAGTGATTTGCATAATATCCTCTAATATTCACAATGCTACAGGTATATTTTTCTCATTTTACAAATGCAGAAACTGAAGCATGAGAAAGGTCATTCATGCAATTGTTTAATAAGCTTTTATTAATATGTTATGACTGCCCCCATGATGCTGGATCTCTCAGAGTAAATGCCCGGCAGGAACCTCAGGAGCCACAGACTAGAGTGTGCTCAATCATGTGACCTCTGCCCCACCCCTATCCAGCTCTTCCTTCTCCTGGACAGTGATGACACTGCCCCATCTGCCACGTCTCTCCAGGAGTCATCCTGAACCCTTCCTTCATCCCCACATCTAACCTGTCGCTAAGTCCAGTGGGCTCTTTCTTGGAAATGTCTCCCTAGAGCTTTCCCAGTCTACTCTCCAGGCTGGGCCCTTTACCACTTCTCTGCTTCTGTCTCAGGTCTCCTACTCTCTGATGTGGATTCCACCCAAGCCACCACCCATTTTTTTCTAGAACCCACATCAGATGATCTCACCCCCAGCCAAAGCCTTCTGATGGCCCATTGAATTGATTTCATAATCTGGCCACAACTGGTCCCATTTCCTACACTGCCCTCCTCCCTGATGCTCCAGCTCCCCAGCCCCTCAACTGGCACTGCTTGCAGGCCTATTCTCTTGGTTTTCTTGACGCTTGCCTAATGCCTTCTCTTTTTTTTTTTTTCTTGGCCTTGGAAATCAGGCATGCACTTCAAGTCTTAGGTCAAGTTCACCTCCTTTCATACACTATTCCTCTTTCTCCCCGGCCCAGCAGTCAGCCCTTGCCTATCTTGTGGCAACAACCACACTGACTGTGAGAGGTAGGAGCTGGTAGATCTGTATCCCCAGCTGTGAGTTCCTGAGACACTTCAGTATTCCTGTGCTCGCTCAGGTTTGTCTGGGATGTTCTCCACAATCAGCCTCTATTATATCAATGAAAAATGCCCATGCTTCTTAATTAAGGGTCAGCAAATGGCCAGGATAAGAAAAGCTGTAGCAGCTCTGATGGGGAAGTTGTGGTCTAGGGAGGCTGCATGGAGGAGGTGGCTTGGGAGTGACAGTCAGATTAAAGCCACATTTCGAGTTTCCTGAGCTTATGCTCTGTGTTGGACATTATGCTATAGCAATGAGACTTCACCTAGATCACCTCATTTACTTTTCTACGAAAACCTACTACGTAAGTATTACTGTATCTACAGTATTTCTGTAGATGAGGAAACCAAAGTTAACAGCATCACATGTGCACAGTGTCCAACTAGAGAGTGATTGGGCAGGGATGAGAATGTTGGTCTTGTTCCTACTCCCAACTCCAACATAGGGATGGGAGAATGAGTATGCCGAGGAATCCTGCAGTGATCAGCTCAGCAGGGAGTGTGTATGGAGTCAGTGGTAAGCAAGGCCCAGGTAGGCCCCACCCTCTACATCCCAGAGAGCAGTGAAGCCCAGGACTGAGGTTTTGGGGACAGGGAGGAGGTAGCTGGAAGGACTCTGTGTCCCTGAGACACCCCCTCCAATGCTGTCTGGCTCCCCACAGGGGGGGGCATTTCTCTGCATGGTCCAGACCTGTGGAATCAGCTGTACCCTCTTCTCTTCGTCTTGCATTGAAAAATGGGGTGTGGTGGTTAACTCATGGCATCTGCTTGTATTTTGAATGCTGCCTCCTGGTTTCCCCAATTCCTGGCCATGGGACCCTGTGGACAAACTGCTTCTCCCTTCGGAATGTCAGTTTCTGATTTCCTAGCATGGGGAAAAGAGCAGTATCTGTTCCAGAGCATTAGGGTAAGGGTAAAACTTAATAACAATGACTATTATGAACTTGGTGTGGTGCTTGGCACATTGTTGATACTCAGTAAATGTACCTTTTATTATTGTCTGACCTTAGCGGGGGGGGGGGGGGGGGGGGGGGTTGCTATTTGTACTTCCCTGATGCACCCAGCAGGGGAGCTGGGGTGGAGCCTTTTGCTCTGAGCGGGGCAGCTCCCTAGCTGGAATCACTTTTCCCAGGGCGGAAACCTCTTGTCTTCGGCTCACCCCTGGCAACTTCCCTTCTGGGATCTAGCCTGCCAAGCCACACCCTTGGTTGGGAGAGCGGCTTTGCTTCTGCAGGTTCTGGACGGGAGAAGTGGGACCCGGGAGCCACAGAAAGTTACTGTGTTCGGCCTAACTTGTGTCCCTGTCCCAGGCCAGGGCCAGTCCCGGTCTGAAAGCCCTCGATGTAGGCTGGTGAGGGTTCAGTCCTCTGTGCCTGGCAGGTTAGTTCAGCAAGAGTAGCGGGACCACACAAAATGTGGCACAAACCGGGACGCTTCTGAGAGTAAAGGGGGCGCTTTTAGTCATTACGCCCAGGCTACCTGTTAAAGCCAGGATGGCAGTGACCCTGGCCCATAACCCTATCTTAACAAAGTAGAGTCTGCAGGTCCCCGAAGGGGACAGGCTCCGTCTGGGTGGCCTAGGTGGGTGCAAGAGGGAAACCAAAACGGAGTCGCACTTTGTGAGCTTTGGACTCCCCACCGGCCTTCAAGGTAGGTCACTTGTCCTTCGTTCCTGCCAGGCTCTGCAGGTATTTGCCCCTCTGTGCTCCCACAGCGCTATGACCATGTCCCTGGGTTAGCCTCGGGAGGGCTGAGACTTTCCTCTGTTTTGTTCTCTGTCGTGCCGCCCCCAGAGCCTGGAATCGTGCCTGGCAGAGAGTGTGTGCTCACTTTGGAATGAGTGAGGTTCTGAACAAATCCATCCATCGCTTTTCTAGCATTAATGATCTGTTTACTGGTCCATTGTCCCTGCTTGTTTATGACCTTCAAGGATGATATTGTACTTATCTCTGTGACTCCAGCACCCAGCCTAAGGCTAGGCAGGCAAAGAATAAGGACGCTATTTTGAACGAGTGAATGGAAGCAGTCCTTCCTGAAGCCCTTAGCTGTGCTGGGTCTTTTCTGCTACCCATTCTGTCTCTCCCCACACCGAGGAGACATTACGCAGCCGGTTCGAGGCAGGTTAGGTAGCTCTTGGCTTCCGTTGGCCAGGTGACCAGCTCTGTCACTTCCTGAAAGCTGGTGGGCTCCTAAATGTTGGAGAAGAAAGGCCAGAACTGCTTGCCTTGGCCTTGTGAAGATAGGATCAAGACAGCGACTAGACCGAGGAACGGGAGGTTCTCCTGAGGACCTAGGGCAGCGACCTGTTTGGAGAGGTTGGAGCGGGAACTGGACACGGAGGCTGAGCAGTCGTCTGAGGGAGGGAAGCCTGGGCACGAAAGGAGTAGGGGACTGGCTTCGAGGCTGGGGCTGAACTCCGAGGCACGGTGGGGAAAGGCCTAAAAGAGCCAGGATTGCCCCCTGGCGTCAGAGATCGGAACTGCACCCTGGAAGGAAGGGCCTGTATTCGGAGGAAGCCACGGAGCACCCAGCTGGACGGCACATCTGCCCTGTCCAGCGCTCCGCCTCCAGCCGAGAACTCCCAAAGAACTTCCGGCTCCCTCCCTCAAGAACCACCCGGCCCAGGCCCTGGCCCGCCCCCCGCCCTCGCCCCGCCTCCGCCCCGCCTCCTCCTCCGTAGCCCTTGCCGCGCCCCCGAGTGGCCGGCCGGGGTACGTTCCTGCGCGAGTAAACGCGGGGCTCCGAGAACCCGGAAGTTACGTTATAGGCGCGCGTCCCGGGGGCGGGAGTCAGCTGAGCTGCCTGGGCGAGGTTGGGATCTTCTCGAATCGGCTAAGGGGAGCCAGTGATCTTTTGGGGTGCGGGAGCGGAGTGCAGGACTGCGTCAGATTCAAGGGGGAGGGCTCCCCAGTCTTCTCGCTTTATAAGGCGAGAACGAGAAAATCCTCAGGATTTTAAAGAGGAGGAGTGGGCGGCGGATTACCAAAATCTGTCAACAGATTCTTGTCGAGGCTGGGGAGACGCAGTTTCCAATCCAGGGCCACGGGGATCCCTGGGGGGAACTCTGTTGTAATCCCTGGGCCCGGGAGGGAGATCCCAGAGGCCGGGCACCATGGCGTCCATCCTGGATGAATACGAGGACTCCCTGTCCCGCTCAGCCGTCTTGCAGCCTGGCTGCCCCAGCGTGGGCATCCCCCACTCCGGTAAGGGAGGGGAGGGCGCCGCTCACCTGGCACCTGCTGGGGAGGATCGGGGAAGTAGCTCCAGGAGGTCCGGTTCACCGCCTAGAGGTGCAGTCCAGATCCAGGCCCCTGAATCTCCGCAGGCTCTCGTGGCCCCCAGCTGGAGGATGGTCGAAGTTTGAAAGAGCAGCCTCGTGATCTAGGCCCTGCCACTAGGGTCCTAAGAGGAAACTGGGACCCAGATAAGGAAGTGGCTTGTCTACAGGGCCACAGTTGAGAGAACTGAGAATAAGCTCCAAGGCTTCAGCCAGAGCCTATGCTTTTCCTACCAGGCCCCTTCTGGAGGCGGGAGGAAGAGAGTGGTCCAAGAAAATGGTTGAAGGGGAGTATTGTAGGGGAAAGAAGACTAGTCCTAGAGGGAACTTTGTCACTGGACAGGGAAAAATGCAGTTATTTTAGGCCTTTACTAGATCTGGGTGCAGCCTGGTGTTGAGGGGAAATTTTTTAGAAAGTGAACAGGGTTGGCGGAGGGTTCTGAAGTGCTGGGATATTTTGTGCAATGGTAAAGATACGAGAGCAAAGGTGAGAGAGAAAGAAGCTTCAGTTTAATTGGCACTGTTCCCGGGGTTCGCTCTGCCTGCATTTTTCTGGAAACTGAGAGCATTACTGCATGGGCAGGGAGGAGGGGAGGGGAGGGGGTGATCAGAATACTTTAGTTGAGCTGGGATTTCTGGGCCCAGGACTGATAAGGGAGAATATCCAACCTTTTCCCCACATTACCATTGGGAGCGGGTACATGACGGTGCAGCAGCAATCCATGGGTTCAAAGAATCCACCCTTTATGGCTGTCAGAGGTGTGAAAGGAGCCCAGGACCCTAATGTAGAGGTGATTAACAAACTACCTGATACATTGATATTAAGCTTTTAACCAAAGGCTTGGGGTAGGGATATGTTGGGAAGATGAAAAGGAAACATTTTTGGTTGCCTCTCCTTGGCCTTCCTCCTCCACATTTTCCATACCTAACGTTTAATTCCCTCCTTCCCTGTAGGGTATGTGAATGCCCAGCTAGAGAAGGAAGTGCCCATTTTCACGAAGCAGCGCATTGACTTTACCCCTTCTGAGCGAATTAGCAGTCTTGTTGTCTCCTGCAATCAGCTCTGCATGAGCCTGGGCAAGGATACACTACTCCGGTGAGTGAGGGCCCAAAAGGCTTAAGAGTAGGGACTGAATTAGTGGTATCTGGGGCCTAATTAGTGACTAGGGCTTTTCTTTCACTCTGGACAGGTGAAACAGTAGATTTGGAATTTTCCAAGAATATCCATTCCCTAAGAGAATTAATGCAGTGTAGTAGTAAAAATCAGGTAGACCTGGATCAGATCCCAGCTCTCCCACTTACCAGCTAGGGAATATTGAGCAAGTCACCCAGTCTCCGAATGTGTCCCTTCACCTGTTAGAGATAGTACCAGCCCATACACTGGTCATATTGATCAGGGGAACTGTCTAGAGTCCTAAAATAAATCCACTGTAAATGGAAATAATATATCAATAAAACTGGAAATACATACATACATACAAACATAAGTGGAAATAATATATAACAAAAGTATCAGCAGAGTTGTTTATCCAGAATAATTATCGAAGATAAAACAGACCTAAGCCTCTATATCACAAAAAAAAATTCGAAGTGGAATAAGTATATAAATATAAAAGTAAATTAGATATTAGGGCGCCTGGGTGGCTCAATTGGTTAAGCGTCTGCCTTTGGCTCAGGTCATGATCTCAGGGTCCTAGGATTGGGCCCCGTGTCAGGCTCCCTGCTCAGCGGGAAGCTTGCTTCTCCCTCTCTGCTCCTTCCCCTGCCACTTCCCCACCCCCCAATAAATAAATAAATAAATAAAATCTTTAAAAATACAAAAATAAATGATTATCAAAAGAATATTTAATGGGGGTGCCTGAGTGGCTTAGTGAGTAAAGTGTCTGACTCTTGATTTTGGCTCAGGTCATGATGTTGGGGTTGTAAAATTGAGCCCCATGTCAGGCTCTGTGCTGGGCACGGAGCCTGCTTCAGATTCTTTTTCCCTCCCCTGCCTCTCCCCACTCCCTCTTTAAAAAAATAGGTTAATTAAGATAAAAAAATAAAAGAATACATAATAAATGTCTTTGTTCTTGGGCTGAAGGGAGATCTTCTTACTCAAGCTAGAAAATCCGCTAGGAAGAAGACAGATATATTTGACTACACAGTAATTGCTGTTATGACAAAAAAAAAAAAACTTTTGAGAGGCACCTGGTTGGCTCAGTGGGAAGAACATGGAACTCTTGATTCTGGGGTCGAGTTCGAGCCCTATGTTGGATGTAGAGCTTACTTAAAAAAAAATAATAATAATACAGGGCGCTTGAGTGACTCAGTCAGGTGTCTTTCTTGATTTAAGCTCAGTTCATGATCTCAGGGTTGTGAGATCAAGTCGTGCATTGGACTGGGAATGGAGCCTGCTTAAGATTCTCTCACTCCCAGGGTGCTTTGGTGGCTCAGTCAGTGAAGCGTCTGCTTTCGGCTCAGGTCATGATCCCAGGGTCCTGGAATTGAGCCCTGCATTGGGCTCCCTGCTCAGCAGGCAGTGTGCCACTCCCTCACCCTCTGCTGCTCCCCCGCTTGTGTTCTCTTTCTCTCTCTCTTTCCAAAAAAAAAAAAAGATTTATCTTTCTCTCTCTCCCTCTGTCCTTCCCTCCCGCCAATCATACACTCTCTTTCTCTCAAAATAAATAAATAAAATAATAATTAACTTAAAAAAAAGCATTTGAATCAGGCACGATCAAAAATGGTGGGAAAATGGGGCACCTGGGTGGCTCAGTGGGTTGGAGCCTCTGCCTTCGGCTCAGGTCATGATCCCAGGGTCCCAGGGTCCTGGGATCCAGCCCCGCATCAGGCACTCTGCTCGGCAGGGAGCCTGCTTCCTCCTCTCTCTCTGCCTGCTTCTCTGCCTACTTGTGATCTCTGTCTGTCAAATAAATAAAATCTTTAAAAAAAAAAAAATGGTGGGAAAATGATGTTTTTCCATGTAAGGCTGTAGATTTTTTTAATCCTATTCCTTAAAAAGTCCTTAAAAACTAGTAAGAAAAAGGAAAGGGGAGGGCAAAGGTATAAACCAGTAGATTACAGAAGAGGAAGTCTACATTTCTAGTAAACATCTAAATATATTTTCAACCTTTGGAAAATAACAACAAGGTACCATGCTTTTAACCTATCAGATTGACAAAAATTACAAACAGTAATTTTCACCATTTCACCCTATGGGGCTGGTGAAGAGACACAGGAATGGACTTTGACACACTGCTGGTGAGAGCATAAATTGCCACCATCTTTTGGAAGAGTAATCTGGAAGCATTATTTGTGGTAGGAAAAACTGGACACACACTGAATGCCCATCAACAGGAAAATGATAAAATTATGGTTGAGCCATAAAGAGACAAATTAGGCAGTTCTTGAAACTATGAGAGCTGTATCAGTTGACATGGTGGAACGTTGAGGAAATATTAAGTGAGAAAAGCAAGCTATTAATATGCATATACACACATATACATGACATGAAGAGATTTTTGTCAAAACATAAAAACAGTGGCAAAACAACTCTTGTAAGCATGGAGAAAGACACTAAAATCAGTTTTGTCTGGAGAATGACAAGTTTGAGAAGAAAATCATTAACTATACATCTTTGCTTTGATTCTTTGGTTAGAATGAGGGTATAATTTGAAAAGAATTTAATAAGGGAAATATAAACAGGAGCTTTCCTCAAGGTTATCCTGAAGACTCATTGAGCTCTACTAGGTGAAGCTTGTGGCACGGTGCTAGGTATACAGAAAGTGCTCAGTAACCATTAGCTACTGTTTGTTGTTCGTTTTTACCCCAGCAGTCTGGGATACCCCTGCCAGTCTTCCCAGAAGCATTGCACCGCTACTGAGCAGAGGAAAAGACTTTTTGTTCAGTGATTTCTCAAAATGAGGTGGCGGAATTCTCAGAGCAGAGCGTTCTTAAGGAGGCCCTGTATGTATGTCAGAGTTCCCTTGGGATCATATGCCAAATTGTATGTGTGTACACAGATTTCAGGGCAGAGAGCCTGTGGCTTTCATCAGATTATAAAGAGGTCTGTGATTCCAAAAAAGGGACTGCCTTCTCTGGAGTGATTCTGTGACTCTTATCTTGACAGCATTGACCTGGGCAAGGCCAATGAACCCAACCATGTGGAGCTGGGGCGCAAGGATGATGCCAAGGTTCACAAGATGTTTCTGGACCACACTGGTGAGTTGGGGGCGGGGGGGGGGGGGGGTTGTCGGGGGTTGGACGGGTCGTTGTGGGGAGCGCAAGTCACCGCCCCGGCGCGTGGGATCAGAGAGTGGTGGGGGCAGGGAGGAGGCTGCCCGTGGGAATGGCTGCCTTCTGTAGGGTGCCATGCTCTCCCCCTTTCCAGGCTCTCACCTGCTGATTGCTCTGAGCAGCACTGAGGTCCTCTATGTGAACCGTAATGGGCAGAAGGTACGACCACTGGCACGCTGGAAGGGGCAGCTGGTGGAGAGTGTGGGCTGGAACAAGGCACTGGGCACCGAGAGCAGCACGGGTCCCATCCTGGTCGGCACTGCCCAAGGCCAGATCTTCGAAGCGGAGCTCTCAGCCAGCGAGGGTGGGCTTTTCGGCCCTGCGCCAGACCTCTACTTCCGCCCGTTGTACGTACTCAACGAAGAAGGGGGTCCAGCCCCTGTGTGTGCCCTTGAGGCCGAGCGAGGCCCTGATGGGCGTGGCTTTGTCATTGCCACCACCCGGCAGCGCCTCTTCCAGTTCATAGGGCGAGCGGCGGAGGGAGCCGAAGTTCAGGGCTTCTCTGGGATCTTTGCTGCCTACGCGGACCACCCACCCCCATTCCGTGAGTTCCCCAGCAGTCTGGGCTACAGTGAGTTGGCCTTCTATACCCCCAAGTTGCGCTCCGCACCGCGGGCCTTCGCCTGGATGATGGGGGATGGCGTGTTGTACGGAGCCCTGGACTGCGGGCGCCCCGATTCCCTGCTGAGCGAAGAGCGAGTCTGGGAGTACCCAGAGGGGGTCGGTCCGGGAGCCAGCCCGCCCCTGGCTATCGTCCTGACCCAGTTCCACTTCCTGCTGCTGCTGGCGGACCGCGTGGAGGCGGTGTGCACGCTGACGGGGCAGGTGGTGCTGCGGGATCACTTCCTGGAGAAGTTTGGGCCCCTGAGGCACATGGTGAAGGACTCCTCCACGGGCCACCTGTGGGCCTACACCGAACGGGCCGTCTTCCGCTACCACGTGCAGCGGGAGGCCCGGGACGTCTGGCGCACCTACCTGGACATGAACCGCTTCGACTTGGCCAAAGAGTACTGTCGAGAGCGGCCTGACTGCCTGGACACTGTCCTGGCCCGCGAGGCCGAGTTCTGCTTTCGCCAGCGTCGTTACCTGGAGAGCGCCCGCTGCTATGCCCTGACCCAGAGCTACTTTGAGGAGATTGCCCTGAAGTTCCTGGAGGCCCGTCAGGAGGAGGCCCTGGCTGAGTTCCTGCAGCGAAAACTGGCCGGTCTGAAGCCAGCCGAGCGCACCCAGGCCACGCTGCTGACTGCCTGGCTCACCGAGCTTTACCTGAGCCGGCTCGGGGCGCTGCAAGGTGATCCTGAGGCCCTGAGCTTATACCGGGAGACCCGGGAGCGCTTCCGGTCCTTCCTCAGCAGCCCCCGCCACAAGGAGTGGCTCTTCGCCAGCCGGGCTTCCATCCACGAGCTGCTGGCCAGCCACGGGGACACGGAGCACATGGTGTACTTTGCTGTGATCATGCAGGACTACGAGCGCGTGGTGGCATACCACTGCCAGCACGAGGCCTACGAGGAGGCCCTGGCTGTGCTCGCTCGCCACCGTGACCCCCAGCTCTTCTACAAGTTCTCGCCCATCCTCATCCGTCACATCCCTCGCCAGTTGGTGGACGCTTGGATCGAGATGGGCAGCCGGCTGGATGCCCGGCAGCTCATCCCTGCACTGGTGAACTACAGCCAGGGTGGCGAGGCCCAGCAGGTGAGCCAGGCCACCCGATACATGGAGTTCTGCGTCAATGTGCTCGGCGAGACGGAGCAGGCGATTCACAATTACCTGCTGTCGCTGTATGCCCGCAGCCAGCCGGCCTCGCTGCTGGCGTACTTGGAGCAGGCAGGCGCCAGCCCACACCGCGTGCATTACGACCTCAAGTACGCGCTGCGGCTCTGTGCAGAGCACGGCCACCACCGTGCCTGCGTTCACGTCTACAAGGTCCTGGAGCTGTACGAGGAGGCTGTGGACCTGGCCCTGCAGGTGAGCCGATGAGTTTCGACCCCATCCACGATGGGGTCCTGGAGAGCCCTGATGTCAGCTCTTGAGGGTTTGGAGTTGGTGGGGGCTGTGGCTAGAGGGTGCTGGCTTCTGTGGAGAGGAGCTGTGGTGCAGAGGTTAGAAACAAGGATCCGAGGTCAGGGTTTGGAATCTGGTTCTGCTGCTTGCTGGGCTGTGTGACCTCAGACTGATTTCTGACCCTCTCTCTTTGCCCCAGATCGTTGGGCCGCAAATGGCATAATGTTCTAGTCACTTCCCTCCTAAGGTGGATGAGAGTAGCATATAGGAAAAGGGCTCAGAACGGTGCCAAACCTACTGCTAGTGATTGCATTACAGTCACTGCGGCTGGAGGCGAGAGGGCTGAGTTGTGTTTCTTATTCACGAGTTACCACTTGCAGAGGATCACAGGAAGTGCTGTTTAAAATGTGAATCCCTGGTTCTGGACCTAGGACTTAACTGAATCAAAGTCTGAGGGCGGGGCCCAAAAACCTGTATTTCGAATATGCTTCGCAGGTGATTTTTACCATTTGCCAACATCAGTGTCCCCCCTCAACCGAAAGTAGCTTTTACAAAGCAGTGCTGGGGACAGACGCATCACTAAGACAGGTTCCTCTTGGGGCTTCTCCCAGGGCCCAGGTTCACCCTGGGCATCTGTGTCTCCCCCAATCTGTCCCAGTCTCTACCTTCGACCCCTACTGCTCACAATCTCCCTGCAGGTGGATGTGGACCTGGCCAAGCAGTGTGCCGACTTGCCGGAGGACGACGAGGAGCTGCGTAAGAAGCTGTGGCTGAAGATTGCTCGGCACGTGGTGCAGGAGGAGGAGGACGTGCAGACGGCCATGGCCTGCCTGGCCAGCTGCCCCCTGCTCAAGATCGAGGACGTGCTGCCTTTCTTTCCGGACTTCGTCACCATCGACCACTTCAAGGAGGCCATCTGCAGCTCTCTCAAGGCCTACAACCACCACATCCAGGAGCTGCAGCGGGAGATGGAAGAGGCCACAGCCAGCGCCCAGCGTATCCGGCGAGACCTGCAGGAGCTGCGGGGCCGCTACGGCACGGTGGAGCCCCAGGACAAGTGCGCCACCTGTGACTTTCCCCTGCTCAACCGCCCTTTTTACCTTTTCCTCTGCGGCCACATGTTCCATGCTGACTGCTTGCTGCAGGCTGTGCGGCCTGGCCTGCCGGCCTACAAGCAGGCCCGGCTCGAGGAGTTGCAGCGGAAGTTGGGAGCCGCTCCAGCCCCTGCCAAGGGCTCCACCCACACCAAGGAAGCCGAGGCAGGGGCTGCCGCGGCGGGGCCTAGTCGGGAACAGCTCAAGGCTGACCTCGATGAACTGGTGGCCGCCGAGTGCGTGTACTGTGGGGAGTTGATGATCCGCTCCATTGACCGGCCCTTCATTGACCCCCAGCGCTATGAGGAGGAGCACCTCAGCTGGCTGTAGGAAGGAGGGTATCACCCCGCTGGGTGGGCAGGTGGTCTGGGGCACAGCTGCCCCCTCTTGGGAAGGCCACATCATGGTACACGCTAAGTCGTCTGGAGACCGCTGGGCCATGACGGTGTTGTGGAGAGTGGAATTAGAGCTGTCGCTTTCGAGGTGTCATCTGTGATCACGTTCTGCCACTGTCCGTGCTCCTCTTGAGAGCTGCTCTTAAATCGGGCCATCTGCCTGCCTCCCAAGAGAGGGCCTCAGCCTGGAGGAGTCAGAATTCTGACCCTGTTGCCATCCGCCCTCCATCTAACAGCCCTGTTTTCCTCTCCGAGGCCCACAGACATCCTGTTCACCTTCTAGAGTGAGAGTACCATTCATCTCTTTCCCTCTGTGACCCTTCTTCCTCAGAGGACACCTCTCCTGTGTCTGCCCCTCGGTCCCAGAGTGAAAAGGCAGCCCCTCCCCGTCTTGGGCATGGAGGGTGGGGAGGGAGGTGCCGGTGTATACCTTCGGGGGCTCTGGGTGAGGGTGCCCTGGGACAGAGGGCCTCGGGGCGGGGGGGGGGGGGGGGGGGGGGGGGGGGGGGGCATTAAACAGCCTGCACTGCACTGGGGGCTCTCGAGTTGATGGCTTTGTGTCCATGCTGGCCTGAGGGGTGTGTGGGTTTTCTCCGGGGGTGCTACGGTGCCACAGGGTGGCTGCCAGAAGCCTGAACTCTTTCCAGCCTTGGCCCTCACTCCTTTGTCTGGAGATGTGACCAGTTTTGTCATTGTTGTGATTTTTCTCACTTCCTTGTCCCAAGACTCCATCCTCTCTGGCTCCCGGCTTCAGCTGGGCGTGATGATGGCCCACTGTCCTCTCAGGCCAAGAACTATTTTTTCCTTTGGCCAGCAGGTGGTGCTGCTCCCCACAGAATCCTCCTCACCGGGACTGCTGGGGGGCGCTGATTTCTTGTCACTTTCTCCTTGGTGTGTTCCTCCCTAGTGTGTTCTGGGAAACTGCGCTGCCTAACCATGAATCTAAGCCCTCATCCTTCCTCCCTCCACCAGCCTGTATGCGTGTTAGATTTTGCTCCTCAACTAATTCCCATGACCGGCCCCCACCTCCACATTACCCGTTTTTAGCTGTGGCTACCCTAGAGAGCCCTGCATTGGGGCCTTCCTGTGACATCCGAGAGCAGCACCCTTTGCTCCATGGACTGGGGTTCACAGTCCACTACTGGGCTCTATAGGTGTGGTCTATCAGCTGCCCAGAATGAAACAAAGTAACAAGTGCGTGTTCCTGGAATCAGGCTGAACACCCCCACCCTCACCCCACCCCCTGCCAGGGTAGCTGGTGACCGCAGGCTTTTCTCTCCTTTGCAGAGTAGCCCTCTTCCGAGATTTTTAGCTCCTGCAGTCCTGGTAGAGTCTTGCCCTGCCTAGTTCCCTAATCACTACAACAGGTGTCTCTTTGTGGCTTCTGCCAATGGTCAGGCTAGAAACTGGCCGTCTTGAATGAACCTCAGACTTTACATCTTCCGCCAGAAGCAAGAGGGAGCAAATGTGGAAGGGGCTGGTAATCTGGGTGGTAGAGAGCATTCTAACCCTGTTCCTTCTGTTCCAAGATTTGGAAGGCTCTCGTTCCTCTTCCTCTTCTCATGTGGCCTAAGGCTCCCCTCATACCTAGACATGCCCAGTAGAGAGCTAAGGGGTATTATCCCCCACTGTCGGTATCAGTCTAAACTTTGACCTGCCACTTGCATGGTCACTTGCTTAGAACAGCTTGGGTTGTCTGTCGTGCCTAATACATGTTAGTTAAACAAACACTGCCCTATTGCTCCCTCCTCCCAAAGGACTTGGCTAAGACAGCCTGGGATGCCCCTGCCCCCTTCTGTCCTCTTCCCAGCCTGCCCATCTGGTCCTAGGCTGCTTCCTCTTTCCTGGAAAAAAAGCCCCAGGCTTCCTTGGCACTGACAGAATGGGGTTCCGTCGAGTCAGGGGAACGGGAAGCTACAGCTCTTAGATCCCTGGAAACCACGCAAGGCCTAGAATGGAGGGGAGAGAGAAGGTCCTCAGGGCCTTGGCCCTAAGCCTGCGGAGGGCCAGAAGGGGGTGTGGCGGGGGAGCAGCTGTGTGGGCAGAGACCAAGATGAATGAGCTGCTCGTGGAGCTGTCACTGGAAATAGGAGGAGTGGCCACAGGCAGTGACGCTGAGAACAGGGCAGGAGGCCTGTAAACAAGGAAGCCACCTGGGGGAGACTCAGGGCGGTCACTGGTCCTGGGGAGCAGGTGCTTCCTGAGGCGCGCCCTTGAGAGGGCTCTGGGGGGCTGCCTGGCCAAGTCGTCAGCGGGCACGAGGGGGCGCTGTCGGCCGGCTTCCCGAAACCACTGGCTCCCTTCCACAGCTGCACGGGGAGTGGCCATCGGAGGGTGTGCCGGCGCAGCGACTGAGGCCTGGCTTTCCCGCGGGACGGCCCTCTCTTCGATCCCTAAGGCAGACAGGCCAAGGGCACTAGCCCTGGCAGGGAGGGCACGGGGCTCCAAGCCTGGCCAGTATGGGTGTGAGCTCATTCCCCCGGGACCAATTCTCCCCCTCCCCCGCTTCCTCCATCCCAGGGCTCAGGTTGCTTGCTGGGCCCTCATCAACCCCATTGGTTGGGAGGGGGCTCCGAGGCCACTAGGCTCCAGCCTGCCCTTGGCGCTGACCCCCGCCCAGCGTCAGGGAAACAAAAGGTTGGGGGCCCAGAGGGAGTTATCTGGCCCCACTACCACCAAGGGAGGGGTGAGGGGGCCAAGAAGGGCACACCTCCTCCCCACTCCCCCAGCTCCACAGATTCTTCGAGACACTTTCACAGGCGGAAATTCCCAGAGGTCAGAGGAGGGAAACGGTTAATTCCTTTTATTCAATGGGTCCCCCCTACATGCCTCCCCCCAGCTTCCTCCCTCCACTTCCCGCCCCCCCCTGTGTGAACAGGAAGTGGAGAGGAAAAGGCTCAGAGCAGAGCAGCTGGGAGCAGGAGGCAGGGAGTGGGCGGCAGGCTTGGTGCCAGCCCTGCCCCTCATGGCTGCTCGCTGGAGAACCAGACCCTCTGTGGCCTGGGAAAGAACCTGCAAGCTGGTGGGCAAGTGGCAGCGGAGCCGGGTGACGGCCTCCCATTGGAGTCCCCTCTGTCAACCTGCTTCTAGGTCAAAGGCTGCTACCAGGAGGGCATGAGGCACGCTCTGTCCAAGCCCCAGCGGCCCTGGCCACTGAGGCCCCACCCCCACTGCAGGCCGGGCATCGTGAGGCTGGCAGGCATCTCTTCAGGCAGCCGCCGGTCCTGGCACTGGCTCCAGCCACAGCCCCTTGGCCCTGCCAGTTCTTTGAAGCTCATGCAGTGCTTCCTGTTTGGGGCAGGCGATGCCAGAGCCCCTCCCCCACCATTGTTCTGCAGAGACCATAGGTCCATCTGTTGCCCCATGGTGGGGCCCCTAGGCAGTGCCACACGGGAGCAGCACCACAAAGGACCCTGCTGGCAGCTTTGATTATGTGGCGCGAGGCTGGGCCCCCGAAGCAGGTTGAGGGTGAATGGTGGTCAGAGGCAGGCCCAGGGTGGGCCATGGGACAGGGAGGATGCTAGGTAGTTCCAGTGACGGGGCAGCCAGAGCCCCCAGCTTCCTCCACCTCCTGGAGCATGATGATGATGCTTTTCCTTTGAGACCTATACCTGCTGAAGTCACCAGGAGAGGGACGCCATTCCATGCCCAGTTTCTGAAAGGGAAAACTGAGGCAGACAGGCAAACTTGGGTCTAGGATGGCTGACAAAGGGTGCACAAAGTAGGGTTCTTCTCTCCAGGGGATCAGTTCTTCTCGCCAAATGCCTTCAGATTGGCGGCTTTCCTCTCCCTGAGCTGCTTTGCTGTTTCTTGGCATTTACCTTGAAGTAGCTCTTGAGCTGAGAAGTCAGGAACCACGGGGTCACTGGGAGGTAAGGGTGGCCCTACGTTGGTGACCAGCAACCAGTGTTCACTGAGAACAAGCCCAGGCAGGCCCAGCAGGAAAAGAGAAAGGGGCATGGGTCTGGCCCCAGGAAAATGGGTGCTGCTCTTGGTTCCCAGTCTGGCTGTAGCCAAAAGTCTGTTTGTGTTTCTTAGGTATGTGTGGGGGGAGGTGCAGCTCACCTCCTCTGCCTAATCGCGCAGCTCTGGCTCCAACCTGCTTCTTCCCACAGGGCTAGAAGCCCAGATGTGGTCTACCCCACTTCCCTTACCAGGTCCTCTGGCTTCTCCCCAGCCCAGGACCTGAACTACCTAGACCATGCCTTCCGAAGGTCAGCACGGCAGACACCTCAGCTGCTCTTGTTCTAAGAAAAGCCTTCAAGGATGTTCACAGCCCGAAATGAGTTTGCTCTGCCTCCCTGGTGGGAGCTGGGCTGGGAGGCCCCCACCCCTATTTACTGTCTTTCCTCCCCCACCCCAGTCTCTCTCAGATGCCAGGATGCTGAGCAACCCAACTGCTGGAAAACCATTGTGGTCAGTCCCTGGTCCTCATCTTCCAGATGCTGAATCTCAGAGGAGAAGTTGGTGGCTGACACGAGGCTCGAGCCAGGATCCTGTCCCTTCTCCATGAAATTCAGTGACCCTGTGCCCATCGGGAGGCAAACACGGCTATAGGCTTCACCGTGCTTGCTCTCCCTCTCCAGCTGAAGTGCTTTGAGCTGATGGGTGGGGAGGTGACTGGAAAGAACAGGTGTAAGTCTCTTCTCTGCCATTTACCAGCTGTCAGTTTAATCATCCCCCCAGAACGTCAATTTCTTTGCTCGAAAATGTGAATAAATATAACAGAACTTGGAGGCTCAGGTGTAGCTTGGACCAGAACAGTATGGCATGTCTGTGTTGGGCCCCTGAGCGATTCCTTTTGGCTTGTTTCTCTTCCACTTTCATTCTGTGCCTCATTCCTCTGGGGCTGGGACCCTGTAAGCCCCGTCGTGGCTCTCCCAGCACAAACTCCTCTGATCTCCTCTTTGGAAATCTGAGCAGAATTGAAAAGAAAGAGGCTAGCTTGAGAAGGCTTTTCTGGTTTCTCAAAAGATGGCGATGATGGGTAAGTAGTTCAGGATGAGTGTGAAAGGGATCCCTCAGGAGTATAGAATATGGCCCCTGAGGTGGGACAGGAGAGTTGGCCTGGGGGATGGGGTCCCAGTTTTCTGGAGGTGAGAGGACACTACTCTTGCCTTGCTCCAGGGGACAGATAGGATAGGCTGAGGGGGCTGGGCCAGGCATGGCTCCACTGCCAGCCTGCCCTCCTGGTCCAGCCCCGAGAGCTTGCACAACAGCCTGGCTGGCTGGCTGGCACTCCCCTGGGAGTCTCAGGAAGTCCCTCTTGTCCCCCCTTGACCTTTGACCTCTTGGGCCCACTGCAGGCCAGAATTCCAGGCAGCTGTCCTCTCTTTTACCTTCTGTTCCTGGCCATTTCCCTTTAAGGCTGGAACTTAGAGATACCCCAAACCCCCACCTTACAGCTCATCCTTTCACATGTTCTTTG